AGTTATAGGTATAGGTATAGGTATAGTAACAGTAGACTTGAAAGTCGATCTTGTACGAATGCGACAATATGGGCCCTGATGGCGACGCTTTCTGCAATAGTAATAGTCATAGTACTAGTAGTAGTACTAGTACAAGTAATAGTAGGTAGTATTAGCATAACAATTGCAGAGCAGAAGTGAGGACCAGTGGGATTGGGAGGGCCGCAACAGAGAATCGAATACAAAAATCCCGAGACTTGGCCTTTGAATGCGGCAGGGGTAGCTGGAGACACATTTTCACTTACCGTCTGGAACCCAAAATTTCCGCCAAGTCTTCTTGTGCAGGAGGTCGTTCGGAAGGTGGATGTCTTGGTGCTCGACTGGAAGGCTCCGCCCAAGCAGGGGCCGAAGGACACTAGCGTCCTTCTGGGCCACCGGTTTGCAACAACGTGCGTTATTTGCTGCATTGCAGCATTGGGTTTTTGCAAAGTGGCGATCGCGTTGGAAGGTTTAATGTAAGTGAATATAATATAAGGTTCAAAGTTTCAGCAGCCCTCAGCTGTAGTTTCGTTCAGGGATGTCGGCTTCAGCAATGCCTGAAGGATCAGGGCAATGTGCGCTGCAGCCCCTGCTCTAAAAAAGCAATGCCAGAATCTACGAGAAGCCTCATCAGGCTCTTACACACATGCGTAAATCAAACACATGCTTATAAATCCCGGCAGCCTTTTCGAAACCCCAAACCCTAGACAAATTCGGACACGCCCAGGTCGGCGTGAGTGCGAAAAGAGCGTGGTTTGGGGCTCCCGAGAGCAGCTGCTCACCAAGTTCCCAGCAGCTTAGCTTTGCTTTGCAGGGTTTGAGAGTTGAGGAGCAATTTAGGGTCCGGTCCGTCGTTCAAAGGGCATTTGCATAGAGCCATCCAGGTTGCAGTTTCGGTAGGGCCGTTAGGGTTCCACGGACGGGCTTGCAGGAGGAATGCCTGTATCTTTAGCTGGTGGGATTTGAATGTCGTTTCTCGAGGTCGAACATGAACGGAACCCTGTGCGGTCGGAGAGCTCCTGAATCCATAAGCAGATTGGGACATTAAGTCTCACAAGCTGAAGCCTGGAGCACTAGAGACCTGCCGGAAGATCCCATTGAACCATAAACCAAACCCTAGATTTGCCCCGCCTGCAGTGTCCGAGTCGCGAGAGTCCAAACCCTAGATCTGAAGCTGCAGGCCTCCGTTTGGGATCTCTGCATTTGCTCGAGCACGGCCCGGCTGGTATTAGACTTGGCCGGGCAACTCAAGGTGCCTCCGAAAAGGGGCCTCTTTGCACTTCCTGGGCTGCGTGGCCTTTGCTGTTCATGACCACCTATAGTGATGTCAGGTTACGCTATAGAATCCGGGAATCCGTGCTGTAGTTAATTATTTGCTGCATGAGGCCTTGCGTAAGTCAGCATTGCCTCGCAGTTCTGACGCTTTCTGAGTTTTTTGTTTATTCGTTTACTCCGCAGTAGGCACCAAGCTTACCTAAGCGGCCCTCGACTAGGACCATCTAGGACCTGTAGTCGGGGGTCGCGACTACCCCGCCTTTGTGGTCGTGCTTTGGTTGGCGTTTTGTCCGTTGTCAGGTCGCGTCTCATTCGTGTGCTGGTTGATGTCCCGTGTCCCAGTCGTGTCTCGGGATCGTGTCCTGTTTCGGTGGGGTGTCCTGGTCGGGTCTGGATCGGAGTCGGTGTCGTCGGTGTCCTGTGTGCCATCGTGTCCCAGTGGGTGTCTCGGTTGTCTCCAAACTTTTAACTCCTGTCACTGTCCGTGTCCGGAACACAAACTGTCATGGAGACCTGAGTTCACCTCCCCTGGAGGTGAAACGCCGGCTAGCCCTGCAGCACGACTACAACCTTCCCTTGGGACCCTGGGGTCAAGAGCAGACGCCTGACCAGCTGAAGGAACACCGAAGTCTCCTGAAGGCAGAGTCGGCGTAGGGCGGTTTGGCGTGGCTGTTCGTCCGGTGGCGAGGTCCCAGCTGCGAGACTGTTGGTGATGCACTCCAGTTTGTGCACAAAACGCGTTAAAGCAAGGCCCATAGATGATCATCATGTGCGGCTGCAGAGAAGAAGGTGTGTTGGGTTTAGCTTTTTGGCGGACTTAAGGAGTCTTGCAGTCTCCTTGGCAAAAGCTTGCGGTTTTCGCTGGCAAAGAATCGTGGTCGTAAAACCCATGGCTCCAGGAAATCGAGCTTTTCATGCCGTTGCACTTCGCGATTTTCCTGCGCACGGAGTTCTAAAGAGTCATCTGTGTGCACACTTACTAGCCTGTGTGTAGTGGCGTGAGAGACGCGAGAGGCAAGCTTGACCCCGGCAGAGTTTGTGCGATAATTGCTTGCGATGGTGTAAGCTACAACTACATAGATGGATAACAGCTTCGCGGCAGTCTCCGCTGGCAAGCCAGCTAAGCCATCCAACAAGAACCCAATTACCAAGGCGGCATGAGCACCCGAATGTGCACTTCACATGCGGTTTTGTAGCTCCGACTCCCGACTCGCATCAGGGATTCGAGCTGCTCTGCGCGTCCCAGCATCTAGTGGACTTCGTCGAGAAATGGGGCGAGGGCGATTTTCGCGCGAGATGCTGCCGCTCGGTTTTCTTTAGACCTGAGATCCAGATACCCCGGTGCCCCCCCCCCCCCCACGCTGCCCGAAGACCTGAAACCTGAGGCCGTCAAGTTCCTAAACCTGAAACCCCAAGCCCTGAACCCTATTGAGCTGAATTGGGTTGAGGGCAGACCGAATCTAGCGAATGAGCGTCGTGATTTGGGACCTCGAAGTCGGAACAGACGACCTGGACATGACAACGACAACAGGCGTGAGAACGGTCATCCTCGCAAACCACCACCCCCGTGACCACACCGTGATGGCCTCAAATCTGTCGCTCCGTGTGTTACGCAATCTTTGCAAGAATGAAGGAGCTAAGCACCAAAGGCTCCCCAAGCTGGCTTTCATCTCCGGCCCCGCTCACCCCTGTGCCCGATATCGCCGACAATTCAGCCGTAGCTAGGGACTTCGGCCTTCAACATGAGATATAACAAGCTTGGTGCCGAACCGCAGACTCAAACCTCACCCGGTCCAAAAAGCTGTGAGAGTCGAAACACCTTGAATTTTTGAAATAATCCTGAAACGAGGTTACGCCGCCGACTTCTCCCTCTTCGACCCACTGCCACAGGAGCCCCTTCAGCCCTGGGAGGGCCTGCACAGCCGCCGGGGCTGCCTTGTAAGTCCATAGTTCCTTCCGCAAGAGGAGGAGAGAGAGAGAGAGAGAGAGAGGGTCAAACCCCTACACCCTAGCCCTGGCGAAAGAAAAGAAAGAGAGAGAGAGAGAGACAGAGAGCGAGAGAGGGATGATACGTGTATGCACTTGCTATATACATACATACATACATACATATACATAACACATTTACCCATCAGATTGGCTTATGTGTACAACTATGTGCGTGGGCATGTGTGTCTGTACATAGGTAGGTACGAACGCAAGCATGCAGGACCGGAGGTAGGTAGCTATAGGTATACGCATGGGCACAGGTCCAGGTCTAGGCATAGGCACATGTGTAGGTCTAGGCATAGGTACAAGTATATATAGGTATAGGTATACTATGTAAGTATGTCTTGTGTGTCTGTATGTGAGTATGTCTGCATGTATGTAGGCAGGTAAGTAGGCAAGTAAATTGCATGCGTGTATCTATGTGTGCTTGTTTTTTCGCTTGCTTGCTTGTATGTTTGCATGCAAGCCTGCATGTGTGCATGTATACTATGAATGTATACTATGCATGTATGTATGTATGTATGTACGTATGTATGTATGTATGTATGTATGTATGTATGTATGTATGATTACCTACAGAACGGAATAGGCACACTTGCAGATCTTGTGGATCAGATCGATATCAGATCAATTGGTAGGAATGCAGAAGCTATCTTGAGTCGTCATATCGCGCGTTACAGTATCCTCTCTGGTCCGTGTCCCAAATAGACTGGAACCTCGTTGAATATGCAAGCCTGTGCGTGCTACAGTACGGAGCCATGCGGCCATTCGGAAGCCCTGAGGGCAGCAAAACCACGCAGGCAGGCATCCAAGCTCCGATAATAGGCCGTAAGTCGCTCGCATAAGCTACCTTCTACGACTTGTCCGGAGCAATAAAAATGAAAGAAGAGTCAGACGTGTTGAGAAGGGGTGCTGACCAGAATTAGATAAATGTCAGAAAAGTCGACCAATATTCAAAGTCTGCTACCACTAAACCGTGTGTATGCTGTCTTCTTTTCTGTAATTTGTTTGTTGTTTTTGTTGCTTTTTCAAACTCTTGCTGGCTTTTTCTGATTGTTGCTAGGGATAACCCATTTTTTGGCCCCCGCCCCTGCTCCTTGGACCCCTCCGAGCCCTGTTCAGGCTCCCCACACGCCCTTCCCTGCAGTGCTTTTTTCTGGGTTTCTCTTGGGTCAATTTCCAATCCAATTCCAATTGTGGTTTGATTCTTGATTCTCGTAATATTGAACTATTTCAGGATTTCGTGGGACTGTAGGACAAGCTAGGAAGCGAACGCCTTAACCCTAGCTGCGAACTGCGCACCGGAAGAGTACATACACACCGTTTCATACTCTGTTCCCAACCTCATGTCTTAGGATTGCACCCAAGACCTCCCAAACCTGCAAAGCTAGACCCTGAACCCGAGCACAAGCGAAGCTAAAGTGAATCGTTTGGGATTGATGCTGATCCGTGGCCGACATGCGCATCCCAACGCAATGCTGCAAGAGAAGGGGCATCCAAGGGACACTTTATCCCACCGATATGATAGTAGTCGCCTTCCTGATGGCCCTAGCTCTGAACCGTAAGACTCAGGTTTTGTGACCTTTGTCAGCCCTTGCCCGGAGAAGGGGCTCAGCATCTTCCTTCGTCTCGCGGAAGCATTGCCAGACGTGCCTTGAATGAACACTCAGATGGCCCCATAATCCTAGCCAGAAGCGAAGGCACCCTCCTTTGCAGAAAGAAGCCGCGAACCCGATATCTTGCTGCTCTAATGCTTGGTCATCGACACCCAACCAGGAGCCACGACACCACACCCAGAGAAGCCCAATTGCAGTCTTGCGCATCGCCTCGAGCCTGAAAGCCCGAACCCCCGAAACTCCAAACAATAAGCCGCCACTTGAAACGAGGTGCAGTTCCTGGCCGTGAAGACCGTGACCTGGACCAAGCCATGGCATGAGCAGATCCTGAAGAAGCCCCTCGATTCTAGAACAGGGGCGGCCTCTTGATTCAGTGGTTGAGGCTCAGGCGCAGCATTGGGATTCAGGACCGCGAAGGGGCGTTCGATACAGGGCCAGAACTTCAGGTTTACACCTACAGCAGGCCTAGGCTCCATCAACTTTACATCAAGGAGACATGGATATTTGTCACCTTAAGCCCAGGTTTTGTAATCCCAGACCAGGTGCGCACAGTGTTTGTGGGGTCCTTGTCGTTTGCGAGTTTGACGCCGCAGACATAGGGGTCGCAAGATGACGATTTACGGCCTAGGTTCCCATGCGATCCTCAAGCCCTGGCCATAAGCAACTTTGGGGCCTTTCGGTTTGCGTCCAAGTTGAATTTCGGGTGACAGTCTATATACCCGACGCCTTCAGCAACATTTTCAGTGACTAGGTCCCACCCAAGCCATTAGGGCTTTGTGGTTCGGGTTTAGGATCCCAGAGCTGTCGGCGTGTAAGAACTTAAGGCTCGGGTTTTTCTGCAGGTATCGGAACGTGAAGGTTCAGGCAGCTACCGAGCCGATCGACGAAGTGCTCAAGGTGACGAAGGTGTTGCTTGCGCCGTCCGTCTACCCCGAGGCCTCGGGGTGTGGGTTCAGAAGGTCAGGTTGCAGCATGTAGCGTTCGGGCTTTAGGGTCTAAGGTTGAATAGGATGTGAAACGTTCACCAAGTTTGCCAGCTACTTTGGGACTGTGCAACATGATTCCCTCTAATTACATGGGCTGTCTACTCAAGTTTGAAGAGTTCCGTGTTGTGCTCCGGCTCAGGGTTTCTGCAATGAGCATACAGAGTGGTGAGACTTTTGCGGCCTATACGCACTAAGCCAGAACAGCGGCAAGTTCACGGGCTCGTCCAGGCTGAACTACTTCCGCAACAGATAAAGACCGTGCAACCGATAGAAGAATTGGTCGTTATCCGACAGTTAGCAGCCTTGGCACTGTCAATGGTATTATGGTTCCCCGAACCCTGGCTCGGTTCATGCTGAAACTGTCAGACCTTGCACTTGTCTAAACATGGAAGCCGAAACCCCTCAATTTGGAAAAGGGTATTGTTGTGCAACGGGATATGATTAGTAAACAGTCCTAGATCCCAACACAGACCTCAAAAGAAGCTTCTACAAGTTTTGCTTTTGTTTCGTTCCTCTCTCTCAACATGGCCCAAGGCCCGATAAACGCTGCTGGGCGTTGCAGATCCGCATTCAAAGCAAGAGGCCAGATACACGAAGAGAACCCTGACAGTAGGTTTTACCCGGAACTCGAAGAGCCGCAAAACATCTCAATGTCCTGCAGTCCCTGCAAAAAGGAAGCCAACGCCTGGAAATTAAGCCCCGTGCCCGTCCGTGAATATTAGACAAATCATCCCAGCCCTCGCAACGTCTGTCAACCCGTGAAAAGAATCCGCACGAACCTCAGGCTTTCGCCCTCGTCGTGACGGAGGCTCAACTTCGAGGTATCCCGGTGGT